GTGTTGATTTATTTCGTGGTAATGCGAGCCCGTTTACATAATTTTAGGTAAAAATGCTCGTTTACATTTTCTCCGTGTGAATGGAGTGCGCCAGACAGGGAAATACCATTTGCAACTGCTTTGGCTGTTAGAAAAGTTGTTTGTAATCTGTCATTTTCCAGCAATATTTGTTTTCACATTAAGGGCCAGCTATAGCATGACGAACTACAGCGTCATGAAATTCCAACCATTTTTCAATTTTACATTTTAATGATAATATGTAATACTGCAGCTTTCCCAGATCAGGTTCAATATAGGCATCAGTTAAATATCTTCTTCTTAGTGTACCTTTTAATGATAAGCTAACCTCGTGTTGGCTTATCAATGAAGTAAGGTATATTGATCATTCATGCCGAGTTTATATGAAGGGCGGTTTGCAACAGTATTTTTATCCTAATTTTTTGAGTATGTGGGTGACCACTTTTGACTGGACATTTACGAGCAACTGAAGAGCTGATGGGTATTTACCACACTGATGGTTGACGCAAATGTTGCACGAGCCGATGCATCAGCTGGGCATTACAGGACGTAAATCTGAAATGACCGTCTGATGCTCGACTCGTTACAAAGGACGTGATAACTAAGTCACAGAGAAGGAAGCCGGTGATAAGATGCGATGATGGGGTCATTTGCCGGCTAGAAGTTGGTAGGCCAGTAAGGATCAGTGCTGCTAACTGGGCAAACAACCTCTAGTCGGCAGACAGACCTATGCATGGACAGTTTTTAAAACATTTATTGAAATATAGTTGACGAATGATTGATTTTTATGCGAAATACCCAACTATTTGTAAAGTAAGTCAAATTGTTTAAAACTATGAATACCTGTGGATCATTAGGGAAAAAAGAAAAAAATTGCCAAACAAAGATTCACAGGGAACATATCAAGCCAATACTCGGAAATCTCTGTAGCATACGTGACAAAGGCGATTTATGGATGAAAAGTTAATGTAGTGATTCGATTCTTTTAGAATATAGGCGAATAAAATTTCAGAAGTTGAAGCAACGAATAGTGTTACCAGAAATGTGGAAGGTGTTACGATAGCGGCCGACGTCAGCGTCAATGCTTATATGTAGCGGGTTATTGCTCATGCGGGCGACTGACATTTCTCCTTCATACCAACATTCCTTAAAATTGAAGTCTTTCAGGAGCACCGCCCAAATAATACTGCTATGAGAAAAATAAAAAATTTAATGTTATTTTAAATGTATCTTATTACAAACGCAATGAATACCGATGAAGTTGCAACAAGCAGTGGGACAAGGAGAAACTTAAGCTATTGTGCTGCAATGTGGTTTGCATTGCTTTCCTGTTCTACGATTGTCTCCAAAAAATCATTTCCGTTCAATAGTGGCACCATAAAAAATGGCGTCTTCACAGTATCACTCAGTTTTCACTTATGCACAATAATGATGATGACTAACGATGAGGTTTTGGAAGTCGTAGAATTTTAAACTTGAATCCTGAGTTTTACGTTGTATGTAGTTAACATGTTACCGGTCGTTAGTTAGATTGCTCTTTATGCCATCTTCACAGCATTTGTATTCATTGTGCTTGTGCTGTGCGTGGTGTGTTTATGTTGTGTATTCGTGTATGTATGTATGTATGCGTGTATGTATGTATGTATGTGTGTATGTATGTATGTATGTATGCATGTATGTATGATGTGTGCAAGCGTATATGTATGTGTGTACCTGTGTAGCTTTCGGCACGTACGTATATATGAGCGTACGTGTATTTCCATGTGTATGTGCGTACCTATATGCATATATGTCTGTATATATCGATACATCTAAATATGTGCTAACACATTTGTGTGATAAACTTTTTGACCTTTTCTCAGTAAAGTCTTTGATTATCAAATCCAATGTGGCTGCGATAAGCAGAACTGCTAGGCTATCAAGAAATTTTCATGACACTTTCTTTCATCTCCGTGTATGTGATTTGATTGCTACAACCACGGTAACATAAATTTGTTGTGCACTTCTGTCCAGGCGAAAACTCAGCTATATGTGGATATGAAAATACAATTTAGCATTGGTAGCCACTGGCTTACACAGTTATACCGGTTAAAACGAGTGATGCACAGAGTTCAAAACAGTCTTGAAAAGTTGTCTTAAGATCTATCCAACTTTACGTTTAAAATCATGTTTTGTTCAAGTAAATCGTTGTTCTTCCTAGTGTTCCATTTATCCTCAAACATCATTATATCTGAAGTATCCATTAAAATAGCTCTGTTACGCAAAACAGTGTGCTGTTGCATAGAATCGCAATTTAAGGTTGAAAAATTAGCAGGAAGTTTTCGGTAAAGATTCTAAGACGGAAAAGGTGGATAAATTTAGAAAAATGGAAAACGAATGCAAGAATTCCTCAAGAGGCTCTACCAAACTTTTCCCTAGTTCGATTTTTTGGCAAAAAAAATTGTGTCAATTCCTATTTCTTCTATCAGGTGATGTGATTAAGTTTTCAATGATATTTATGACTTCATTAAGTTCACACACTGCTCATCCGTCGTTCACATCGGTGCTGTAAAGACCTTGTTGATTCGGACTAATGTAATCAGTCTTCTTTTATGATATGAGCTCTCCCATGGCACTGAAAACGATTCTTCGAATTGATTAACTCTTTGCCGCGGTGAATGTCCCGCCTAGAATTTACATAGCATTCCGCATAATTTGCTCATATATCTGGCTAATTACTTGCTAATTAAAGCTCTTCAATGTATGAATTTTTGGAGTTTCAAATCTTTTCAGAAGCCTTCAGCATGAATGTTGAATCTGCAAGAAGAGACCCAGTGAATTCTAATTCAGGAAACATTTAAAGGAGAGAACGAAAGGAAAATATGAAGATCACGGTATTTTAAGTACTTAACAGTGTAGAATCACCCTTCGTCATTTAGATCTATGAGCTGCTTGAGTTTGTGAAATTTGGTGTCTACTTGTTGAGTGCAGTGATTTCATACAGCAACGCCGTGATCTAGTTAATAATGTTGGAGTGTAGAAGAGTGCAATGGAATACTCAAAGAATTCACACTGATCGTTATTCTTTCGGTTGCCTTAAAACTAAAACAATGGGCCATTTTACCTTGCCAGTAGGTTCGCAACGGTTTTTTGCGTATGAGGGAAGCATGACACTTCTTTATGTGGCCTGATGTGACATTTTCTAAGCTAATACCCGTGTTGTTTGAGTTAGCGATGGAGAAAAATGATAAAATAGTCGATACTGGCTTCATCAAGACCTTTTTATTCGCTCGTGAAAAATATAACTTCGCAAAAGGAGCTTCTTTGTGGATTCGCTCTATAATGAACTTTCGTGGTGAAAAATCCGGAATTACCTGCAACATCTCAAGATGAGTGACTTGGCGCCGTCATTAGAGAGGCCACTTCACGCCATTGACGCGCACACGGAAACAGTATGTTCACAAGTGAGAAGTGTGATCCTCAGCTGATCTAATCTGTATTGTTTTCACTATTGTGCTTGTTTTTCTCGCAGTAGTCTGATGTACATGTTCAAACATAAAGCGTTGTTAACAGATGTTATTTCTTTTATTGTAATATCAACATTTTATGTCAAGACGTTCTTTCTACTACCTGGATGAGCACTCTACCCACAAATGACAATGCCATTCTACAAGACGAGGTGAAAAGTAGAAGTATATTAAACCGAATATGTTGCTGGGGAAAGAAATGAAAATCTAATATTTTCTAATAGAATTATTGTGAAAACAGTAAAATGGTTGTAACGCGAGACGAGTTCATTTGGCTGTGTTCGCTTGATTTGGTGAAAGTATATATCGTTCCGACAAGAACTACCGAATAATCGTGTAGATACGAGTACTTCTCGCCGTTAACTTTAGAAAAGTAATATCTGAAATCAAGCATGTTAAAGAATATAATAAAGCATCTATTGACAAAAATATGTGGTAAAAAAGTGGTAAATTTATATTGTTGTCATGTTTCTGGTTTTAAGAAGCATTTTCTTCATATCGATAGTTCTCTACAATTTTCAAGGTCAGCGATTTTCACTGAAACCCAAGAAAAACGGGAAGCTATGTTAAACCCTAGCCGATTTTCTTGGTACAAACACAACCTTTGGTCTTTTTTCGTACTAAGCATTTTCTTATTAAAACTGGAGTGTTCTGCTTGTTATTATAAACCTTATGTGCTCTAGCATGTATTTAGATAGGAAACATTTCGCGATTATTATGTGTGATTTAGAAGTTCTTGTTAAGAATTTCCTTAGTGCTAACTATGTATTTGACATTTTCACATTCTTCATTTCAGTGCCCTCTCGCAGTTGCTCTTCGGCTCTCTCTTTCATGTTTTATGGTGCGGAATTTGAATAGCGAATATTCGAGTAATCCGTCAGGAACTCTGGGCTTTTTTCCTGTTTTCTTTCCACATTCTGGTTCGGCCACCAACCTTTTTTTCGTTTAGGGCGTCGGCTTTTGTTGAGGACGCTGTGACTTACGCTTTCCTTAATGAAAATGGCGTAGCGACCCAAATATCGTAGGTATATTGCTGCTGAATTGCTTCCGGTCCGAGATTGCCCAGGCCACTTCGTTCGAACCACTACGTTAAGTCCATATTTAACCTCCTATTCATTCTTTTGTGAATAATGGACGCTGTTTTCAAATAGAAATTTGCTGATGTTCCTTAAGTTAATAAATTTTTAACCAATCAGCTATAGATTTCTTCCTACTTAAGAAAAAGCGAGCAAGTCATTGTTAATTATTTCGAATCCTACTATGTTCTCGGTGTAGGTCTCAGCGATTGCGCAATGTGATCGCCCAAGGATGAGACTAAGTGGATTATTCTGAAATCTGTTTTGTGCAGAGCTATTTCTAAGTATCATTGAAAGTGCAGGAATAACACCGAAAGGCTCATATGAGATAACGGAGGATTTGCATATTGCAGCAGAAAAGCTGGATGCAGAAGTAGAAGACATACCACGTGTGAGTTGCTCATAAGCCCGAGTCATCAACATAGAATGGTCCAAAAACGGTTGCCCAATGCTTGGGAACACGGCGAGTTTTAATGATTATGGAGCTGTCCCCATATTCGCGTCTAATCATCAATTGTGACTCAAGCGCTTCCAACAATTGTTCAACTTGACGCATCGTAATGCTCATCTTACATGGCAACTGAACACATGCTACTGCCACATCATTCTTCAAAACTATACGGAAAGAAAAAATCTGGCAAACTAGAGTGTTCAAAGAAGTACTATTAAGCGTTACAAGTAGCACTGAAAATAAAAAAGTGTAAAGCGATAAGAAAGCACTGGTACTGGTACGAAATTAGTGTTACGGAAGATGTCTTATCACTGCTTTTTTTCATTTGAATGAGAAGTCTTGGTGACCGAAAGTTACTGTTTTAATTTTTTATTTTCTCACAAGAACAAAGTTTGTTAATCAATGTTCTACTATGACTTACAACAGGCTTATGACCTACTATGATGAACATACCTGCAGAAAAATCTTTCAGGGTGAGCAGTGCTGCACGCTTCCAGTCGTAAGCTCAGGGACTGCTTTGTAAAGGTGTAGTCTAGACTGACAGTTTCGTGACTCTAAGGAAAATTTTTGCCTAACCAACAGAATACGTCTGGAACTGGAATAGTGTTGAGACAAACACAATTTGTGATAATGGGATGTTTAATTACGATGTGCCAAAATCGGATGCCTATTCCAGTGTGCCCAACTCCACGTGCCAGACTCGCATGTGAGCTTCCAGTAAGTTCACCGTTTACCTCTCTTAGCGTTCATACTCGTGGCTTCACTTCGTTTTGTCAAATAATAAGTATGTAGTGTTTGGCGCAGCAGTTTCGTCCTTCGCAGTAATAACGCAACAGCGTTGATGTGAACAAACACAGCAGGTGAAACGTTTTCTATGCACATTTTTGCGCATTTAAATAAGATCTCATCACGTTTGAATACTATTTAGGTTTCTTGTTAGGGTAGATCTCGTCAAAATAGCAACTTTTCACGAATCGTACAACGCAGTAAAGAACTTCATAGAAAAGCACTTAATCTAATCCATGAAAACTTTTCTTTCGTAAATAAGAATAGTAGCAAGAAATAGCACCGAATTATATGGTGGTGAGCCAATGTGACAAGTGAACAACTTGTGCATGTTGCTTAAGCCTGAACACTGGACCTGCTTTGATAACACATGGGTTAAGTTCATGTGCTTTCTGCCTCTACTTCATCAGATATAGATTTTCCTTAAGTAAACGCATAATTGCACTTGTAAACACGTGTACGAGAGTGTTTAGGCATAAATGGATTGTATTCTGTATGTCGGATCGGCAAAAGTTTTTCATCAAGTGACCAGGAAGTGAGATACATGAAAAGCAGTTCCATATTACTTTCAACAGCAAGAAAATAGTCGTGCCTTCATCAACAAGTTGAGCAAGTCACCTTTGCCCCGCACTTAACCCAGTTGCAGACTTCAACCACAGCTGCAAGTAATATTTTTTAGTTATCCTGTGGACGCGCGAAAATGTGCCTCTTTTGGTGCGTCCTGAGCGAGTGGATCCCACTATGAAGGCTGCTTCAGAGTGGAGTACAAAGCTTGCTAGTGCTTCCTCGTGTCATTCGATAATAAAGGATGTTACAAATTGTTCAAGTGGTGGTGATTCAATGAATGGTGTTTTATATAGCGGAATACGAGACCTGGTGTTGTTTCAGCACTCTAACGGTGAGATTATACTAAAGATCAACTCCTTTTGATTGTTTCTTCAGCTTTTATAAGTATCGCTACACAGTTTATTCCTCGCACAGGATAGCGTTTTCTTCTTATCTCTTTCTAATAATCTCAACTCATCATATACTTATTCAGCTTATGTTATTTGCAATTCTAAAGTGCGAATATTCCTTATTTTGTCTTATGAGCGACAACTTTTCTAAAAAATTTGCATGAAAGGATTTCTTTGTAATTTCGAAGGCACTCTTTTCAGACTCCTCGTCACTCTCGACAGTCGGGTGGCTGCAGTTAACTCATGGGTGCGAAGTGCATATATCCTATATTATCTATTTGGAGAGTCGAGTATCTTCCTGACGACGGCAAGCACTTCACTTAATGATGAGCCCATCGTTACCAATCCACTAGTCGCAGTCCTCATTCACATTATCGCCGCCGGAAACTGTTTTTAGCATAAAGATTTCTCACTGCTCTGCTTAAGATGTTCTGATTAATGATGTTTTTACTCGCTGGAAAGCATTAAAAGCCATATGTAGTAGAAAACTGCATCTCGAACAAGAGATTAATCTAACACATTTTCTCAGATTTGAATTTATTTTTGCCTTACAACGTCAATGTGTAAATTCTGAAAGCGTGCAAAATTTTCTTTTTCTCTGCCGTGTATGCAGTTAGATGTACCAAATAAAATTGAAAAAAGTTGAATATTAGTGCAGTTCTGTCAGTTTTTTATCTATTGTAGAAGGTACTGTCTTATTTTTATTAGAACAGTGAAAGTTAGAGAGTTCTTCCCAAATTCTCTAAGAAAAGAGAGAGAGAGAAATTTTTTTTATTCCTCACCAAATTTTCTTCCTTGATTATTTTTGTTGTCGGAAGATTATTAGCATATGTCCAGCTGATTGTATAAGCCTTGCGAAAAAACGAGAACAAATGCTTACAAATATATGGCCCCTTGTTCGATGACCTAAAAGAAAAAGAGTTTTTCTAGAAAGCACTTTAAAATAAACGGTTTTTTAAAATTAGTAAACTCACCACCGTCATTTTTATAGTGCGGTGTTGTTAGAGAGCGTTTGAGACAATGGAATGATAGTGCTCGAAATTTCAGAAAAAGAACGCTTTCGGTGAATTTCGCATAAGAAGATTCATCATAGAATGCGTGTGTAACTACGAAAGCTACTGGTGCCCCGCACTCACAGGTTTCGATTGAAGAGTTGCTCAAGCACAGTTGTCTTACCACAAAATATGCTTGCTGCTCAGCGTTTTCGAATTACCATTCCAGAAATGAAAAGGTGTGAGCTGTTCCCAATTCAACGCTTAAAACTCTGCAAGAAGTACTCGAGGGTCTGATCATTCAGATACTGGAATAATTAAATTCGATTATAGCGATCTTTTGTCTATTTTTGTACAGCTGCTCACAATGACAAGGACGCTGAGATATGAGGAAAGCCAGGAAATTCAGTTAGACCTTGAATCAGCGATTCTCCCACCTGGTGATCAGGTGCTGTACACTGCACCAACCGAGGCCATTGTTTTGCCTTTCCTTCGCTCGTGTTTTTACTCCATCTGTGCAATCATCAATCGCCCGTTGCCAAAAATTATCTGAGAAAGAAAAATCGGCACTGAACCTGGTTAGGCTGAAGCTGCAGTCAGAAGTAAAAACCTTGGTTGGTGAGGTAGTTAACAAGCGAACCCTCGACACGGGCTCTCGCGGATTCGAAGCCCAGTGCAGGTTCAGAGTTTTCTCATATCTCAGCATCTCTGTGATTGTACTCCCATGATGCCCTAGTATAAAGAAGGAATAGAGGCTAAACAAAAAGTTAAGACTATCAAGTCGTTCACAATATTTCTGACTTTTCAATCCATCAATAATTCTCATTTTCATATAGACATCGCCCTTCGTTTGTTATATAAGAAAAAGGAAAGCAATTTTGAGAAGGATGGGGAAGAAAAACGCTTTACTAAAGAAACTTATTCAGACAAAGCGTTTCATCTGTTTGGTTCACTGATGGAATGACGTGAATAATCTGAAAGTCCATCGGTTGGACTAAAGTGAAGAGTTTCATTTGAATGTTGCTTAAAAAGTTTAATTTCTTAGAAGTATCCGCAGTAGAAAGTCTACAATTGTGCTCAATGATATTTTTATTTTTTTGAATTATTTGGTAGAAAGACGGCGTTTTAAAGCATACGTTGCCGTCCTAAAATAGCGAAGGAAGAAACATCTGCTTATCCTAAGCGACATTATATCAACCCCTATGGAAGTCACTGTTACACTTTCCGCCTACTTTCTGCGAGGAGCAGAGAACAAAAACCGGAAAGAAAAAGAAAACATGGGGAGGCAGAAAAATCGGAGGGCAAAACTATAGGACGAAAAAGAGCGTGTGATCTAATGACTTGCTCCTTTTTCACTACCGTATTTCAAAAAAAGATCTCAAAGAATCCTTTCGCAGAGTGAGCAGGTAACGCAAATTCATCAGCAGAACTGGCATATGCTTCATGTTTTAACCAAAAGGCACGTTTATTCGCAAGTCGAATCAACTGTTTTGTATGCTTAAACAAATCGGTGTGCTTGAGAACAGTCAATCACTTTGAGGACAAGCTGATGTGTTCATTGCGGCAGAGCTGAAAAACGACTCTTTGGAACAATTAACTGTTCACTTTGTTCAAAGTGGAATAATGTTTTTGAAGGGGAGCAGTAATTTTGTGGCAAGCTGGCTGCACTCTCGCAACAACATTTTACGGCTGACTGCTTGTCGCTGAAAGCGCTTGGCGTAACACGATGAGAAGCACTTGCCCAATACTGGAAACCTGCCCAATCCTGTATTGAAGACTTAATGCCTGTTTCTATTAGCACGCATATGTGCATGTTTCCTGGTCAACAATGTGGCACTGATTCATTGGAATTGCATGGCATTAAAATCTTCGGTTAAGCGCGCCAGCTAGGCGCGCTGAGCAAATGCTTGGTGTGAACGTCTTCTAGCGTTTGTGTTATTCCATTTCTTTTATCAGCTCTTATCATACAGGCTGCTTCTTGAATAATTTATTAGAATGATATCTAAAATTACAGTAGATGCATCAGATTTTAAATCGTATTTACTTGCTTGAGACTTACTATAATACTGTCTACTTTTCATAGACTCCGCTACTCGAGTTGATTTACTGATGCTCAAGGCCGTCTTATAACAGGCGGTTAATTCTGAGGCATTCATTTAAAAAAAGATTTCAGGGACAGCGAAATATGAGTGTCATCGCTCTTGCTCATCGAATTGAACGGTCTTTGACTGCGACTACGCGGTGCGTACCGTAATGTGTTCTTGCATATACGTCTTTGCCCAATTTTCGTCATTATAGGGGTTAATGATATGGAATTGAATAAGGAATTTGTTTATGAGCTGGAGTGAGTACCACGCTACTTGTCCACCCACTACCAACTGTCCAGCCTCCGCCCACCTATAAAGGAGAGCTATTGCACCGCTTAAGTCTCTTATTTCACATCTCTATCGGTTTTGTTATCGAAGCACATAAACCACGTTAATACAGTTATCAAAGTCGTTTGCAATTTGATTAACCAGCAATTTGATTAACGTTTTACGCAACTAGAGAGCAGTTCTACAGTGACTCAGCCGGTTTCTGTATTTTGGGCTGGTCTCGCTTGATTCCCATCTCATTCGAAACGTAGCGCTTCACCTATAGTAGTAAACTTTTACTTACTACTGCAAAAGGCTTAGTACTGATCACTAAAGCATCAAGATATCTAAATACCCAAGAAAAAAGGTGCTTTCTTGCTACACAATGTGCACCAAATTGCGCCGAATTTCTCTTTTTTACCAGTACAGTTTGACAGAAGAGATAAATAGAGAGCACAAAAGAGAGAGAGACACAGAGAGAGACATAGAGAGAGAGACATAAGAGAGAGACATAGAGAGACATGAGAGAGAGACATAGAGAGAGACGTAGAGAGACGTGAGTGAGTTAGGGGAGTGAGTGAGTGAGTGGAGTGAGTGGAGTGAGTGAGTGAGTGGAGTGAGTGGAGTGAGTGAGTGAGTGAATGGAGTGAGTGAGTGAGTGAGTGAGTGAGTGGAGTGAGTGAGAGGAGCGAGTGAGTGAGGGGAGTGAGTGAGTGAGAGGAGTGAGTGAGTGAGGGGAGTGAGTGAGTGAGAGGAGTGAGTGAGTGAGAGGAGTGAGTGAGTGAGTGAGTGAGTGAGTGAGTGAGTGAGTGGAGTGAGTGAGTGAGGGGAGTGAGTGAGTGAGAGGAGTGAGTGAGTGAGTGAGTGGAGTGAGTGAGTGGAGTGAGTGAGTGAGTGAGTGGAGTGAGTGAGTGAGTGAGTGGAGTAAGGGGAGTGAGTGAGAGGAGTGAGTGAGTGAGGGGAGTGAGTGAGTGAGAGGAGTGAGTGAGTGAGAGGAGTGAGTGAGGGGAGTGAGTGAGTGAGGGGAGTGAGTGAGTGAGTGAGTGGAGTGAGTGAGTGAGTGAGTGGAGTAAGGGGAGTGAGTGAGTGAGAGGAGTGAGTGAGTGAGTGAGTGAGTGAGGGGAGTGAGTGAGTGAGGGGAGTGAGTGAGTGAGTGAGGGGAGTGAGTGAGTGATGGGAGTGAGTGAGTGAGTGAGTGGAGTGAGTGAGTGAGTGAGTGGAGTAAGGGGAGTGAGTGAGTGAGAGGAGTGAGTGAGTGAGAGGAGTGAGGGAGTGAGTGGAGTGAGTGTGTGAGTGAGTGGAGTGAGTGTGTGAGTGAGTGAGGGGAGTGAGTGAGCGAGGGGAGTGAGTGAGTGAGGGGAGTGAGTGAGTGAGTGGTGTGAGTGAGTGAGTGAGTGGAGTGAGTGAGTGAGTGGAGTGAGTGAGTGAGTGGAGTGAGTAAGTGGAGTGAGTGAGTGAGAGTGAGTGAATGAGTGAGTGAGAGAGGGAAGGGAACATTCGTAGTTTTTCTCTTGTTTGTCGCATTCTTTTAAAAGAATCTCTAACTATTTCTGGTCCAATATCCATTTCACATCACATCGTGAAAGCTGCCAATTGTATGTTTCCGGATAACTATTTCTTGTAGATGAAAAATTTCACTCAGCACGACGTCTTATCTCGGTCCGTGTTTCACTGAAGACAAGTGTGGAAGCTATTTTCTACTTTGTTATGAAAATCAATCCAACGACCGCTACACCCACCAACCTAAGCGCGACTAGAAATTATATTTGTTAATGTACATTAGGCCACCTAGTTTACTAGGCACGAAACGCTACAATCACAGGGGATATTTCCATTCTGGAGAAAAAGTAGTTGCAAGGGAAGAGAACTCCGCTCTATCCACAAAGTGCAACGACTGCCTTTGGTGAAGAACTCAAAATACCAGACCATGGCTTTGTCGGAATTCCAACAAAAACCGCGGTCGACCAGTATTCAACATGTCAATGACGAGGGAAAACGGAAGCTACACGAACCCGCCTTCCTTAATGGGTGACCATTACAAGACAACGGGTAGATGAAGTGCCGGTACCTTCACTACATTTGAGAATGTGCTCTCTAAGTAGCTAAGCCAATTTAAACAACAAGAATGAAATTCTACGGTGCAAAACAATCTTTTTTGATCAAGTAATTTTACTTACTTGATTACTTACAAATTACTTGATCAATGCCGAAGTTAATAGAAAGTCGGTCGTGGCAATCTTTTTTGATGTGCTGGTAAGCCATTTGAAGCTATCTCCTTCATTAAATACAGAGTAGATCACGGCTATGCAGTTTGCATATGAAAAACCAGTTCTTAATCTTCTGAACAGTAATATCAACTAATCGACTCCAGAAGAATAGCGGGTTTTCGCTTGTGACAACGATTAAATCAGCAGTCATGCTGAGAAATGTGTTACTGAAAAAGTAATACGTATTGCCAATCAAAGGTAGACAGTTTTGCGCTTGTCTCAAGTCATTCTGAAAGTGAACCATGTAACAACATGGTTCTTCATTCTCAAGCTCAGTTTATCACTAAAATGCAGGTTGAGCTCATATTTCATTAAAATTTTGAGATGTTATTAGAGGTTAGTTGGCATGAAGTCAATGGAGATAGGATAGATAAATTGCATCTCGAAATCGTTTGTCTTGCTCTTCTTTCGTTGTTTTTGATGTCGTCTCATTCCTTACATCTTCCCACAGCTGGTTATTTATCCGAATAGGCTCTCCTATATGCATAGAGGCGCCAATATCTGCTGCTGATGACACTAACAGCAAAATTGATTCGGTAAACATGAAGTCTACGAAGTTCATTGTTTGTCCACAAGTAGCAGTACTAGTAAATGCACGTTGGTTATTTGCATAAGAATTTTGGAATAAGGAGATACGTAAGATGAGCGCATAAGGCCAGCAGTCCCGTTGGGATGGAAGGAAAAAATCGGACCCCACCCCCGTGCATAGAAATTCGAATGTCATCTCTTCGACTTTACAGCGGTTCACTCTCTAGTTTTCGCTGTATTTGGCCACGAAAATTCTTTAGGAAAAAGCAACTTCGTTCCTGTTTTGTATGCAAACTCCTCAAGTATATAGTAAAGCCATTATTTCGATATCTGCACCAATTTCGTGAATACCCTCAGCATTCTGTAACCGTCACATTAAATGACATTGGAAAAATACATCTCTGCAAGGTGGAAAACGGTACTGAGCCAAATATGAAATTATAGGAAAGTCGGGGATAAATTATCCTCTCCATTGGCAATAATTTCTGCACTTTTTGCTTCACTGTTTTGTTATAAGGTATGTGTATGAAATCTACCTGTTTTTTCCTTCATCTGGATGTATACATAATTATCTACCGGCTTTCTAGATGTACAGGCACTTAGTGTAGTCATGTATTTACTTGTGCTCGCATGTCTATACCTGTATGTATAGGTGTATGGTAGATGACAGTGAAGCGAGTATGTAAGAATATTATGTGATCAACTCTGGCTATGCTCCAGTGTCGTTCTAGCCATCACTCGGCTGCTGTGCCGGCGAACTCAGTTCTTCCGCCCGTGTCGATCAGACCCTCCCACAACTTTTCCACGCTTTTCCTTTATCGTTTCGGAATTCTAGTTTCACATGTAACGATTTTACCTATTCTCTAGTAAGTCATTAATTTCTCAATACTTTCGCATGTTTCCTTCTGCGTGGTAGCCTAGTAACGGCTCATAGTTGTGGGCGTCAATGTCGAATTTCTCAATTATTATCGCAATTATTTTATCTTGTTATACACTTGATATATTTTTTGAAATACATTTACAATGGCTATTCATTCATTGTTGATAGCATATAGTAGTCTTCGCTTCCCGACATGACTTCTGAGAGTACTCAATATCGTTTCGCTTGTTCTTTTCTCATTGTATAGCGAATGTTTTAATTAGCGATTTTTTGTTATTTCCAATGCACTGAGCTTATTCTTAAATGGTCTGTGCTTCTACCTCTACTTTTGCTGCCAGCACGCGCTTTCACCACCGATTTGTCATTAACATTAGTGCAGAAGCCTTGAAACCTTGTGTGAACAATATGTTCGAAGTCTTATGGATTTCAGGTAACGACACTCGTCGGGCTCAGTTTACCTTATTTCCACAAGTTTTAGCCACCCTTACTCATTCTGTCCAAGTCGCAGTGCTGGCAAAGGTGATTGTAGATGAGAACTTATTAACGGCCATTCAAATTCGCGAAATTAGTGATAAGACTTCGATGATGCAGCGACTTTCGATTGACCGACAAAAATAGCTTATTGTCCTCGGCTTAATAACTGCACTTTTTCACACGCTACAGGATTTTCCGCGCTGACTTCTTGACAACTGTCCATAGTTTCGGGGATGGCACCTAATTTTGCGAAAGGTGTTAAGTTTCTAGTTTAAAAAGCCTGTAGTCTTTAAATGATAAGGAATGTACACCATCGCGCCCTCCTGCGAAATCCCGCTTGCTCAATCGGCGCGCTGCTCCTTTGCGAGCATCTCCTCGGTGAACGGCAAAAGAAGTCGGTCTCTGAGTTCCGGATTGCCAGATTATATCATTGCAAGCCAAAAAATTCTTTTTTTCGGGAAGAAATAGACAGGTTTTTACGGTTCCTTTGTTCCATTTGCTAACGTTCACTAGTTGCAGAGATATGATTCCTTAAATTTGAAACGGCATAATTATTTTTGGCGACTATATGTGAATTATATGGAGAAGAAAGTTTTAAAGGGCTCATATTCGGTTGGTGATGATGGCTTAAGCAAAAGAACAGATTAGTGGAAACTACATGAATTAAGTCGACATAAATGTGAACAGTCGGATTTCCGGTATTCAGAGAAACGGACTTAAGCGGAGCTCATCATTTCGTGAGGAGGAAGTTTTTTCCACTAAAAGTTCTTGATGAAATATTTTGAATTTATGAAGACTCCTTTTATTGCTTCAAGTACTAATTTCAACGGCCTATAATTCCGTGTTTTTATCTTTCTATGGCTTCCAAAACAGCTAGGTAAGTGTTAAAACCTGCTTCGAAATGTTTTCGTTTCATGAAGGTTCCTCCCGAGGAATTGAGAGTGAAAAATTGGGAAGTCGCTGGAAGCCCCAAGTATGCATCTTGGTGAACCGCTCACAAAGGCAGCTTTTACACTAGGAACTCAATATCCACCTGACGTTCCGAGTTTTGCTCATATCTCAACATACTTCTGGTTGCATTTCAACATTTCCTATCCTTCTAATTGTTTTTGGACGGGAGTGATCACAGCAATTTCATGTGCTCAGATCGATTGTTTAAGGGATAACGATATGTTTCATTTTTTGATGGGATACTCCTCAATAAGAGCGACGATTAAAAAGCCGAAAGATAAGAGCCCACCTATAAGACGTGGAATCCTTTGGCCTCCGGAATTGTTCTAAAAACGCTTTTGTTTCACGTCATAATCCCATGGCGGTAGTCACGTTATTCGCGCGCTTTTCATATTCTCACTGTTCCTTTGTTTTTCTATAGGAACATGCCTACTTTTTCCTTACTATGTCCAGCCCTTTCTTCTTTCTGGTATTTATATAGATTTTCAGAATGCCCTTTATTTTTCCATCGTATATATTCCAGTGTACACTGACGAATGTTTTCAGTATATTTCAGTTTGCTCGCTTTCCTTGTTTCCTACTTATTCTTTCTTAGTTTTTGTAATTGTTGGTGTTGTTTGCTCCATGGCTAATTCTGCTCTGTGACTGATGATGAGGTTATAGTGACACCCAGTAGATCCACCTACACCCGCATCTTGTTTCTCCCATCTTCATTCCTTCGCTTCAATCTCTCTATTATCTGACTTATTTCTGCATTTCGAAAAACGAGGTGGTGTGTTGTGAGATTTTTGCATATTAATGCAGAATGCTGGCACTATCGATGTGCTCATCGAGATAGGCACTATCTCGAAGGCGTAGTAATTAATTCAGAATGATTTTAACAAAGCAACAACATAAACTTGTTTTCGTGATATGTGCCCCTCCAACACTTAGTTGATGATTCTATGACATTAACTACTAATTTACATGTCATCCAGTCTCACAACATCTGAGTCGGCTTCAGAAGTTCAAGGTTGAATATAGGGAAATATCGAATATGTTTCAATAGTTCAATAAAGCCTTTAGCTGTTACCAATATTATAGTGCTAACTCGTTTTTACGAGATATTCTTCTCATGGTTACATTACTGGAGCCATAAAAGATTCGCAATTTTTACTTAAAACAAAACTTGTGATTAGAGATTGCTAAGGGACTGCAATGTCGTGTTTTAAAGGACGTGACGATCGTTACAGCGATCATAAAACTCTACACTGCGTGCTTAGAATCACTCTTTGTTCCCTCCACCGCACGACAAAAAATGCCATACGTGCTTCGAATCGTTTGCTACAATTTAGAGTATTGTGGAAGATTTGGGGCCACGGTCAGCTTCTTTCTGGTTTACTGTTTCATACTGTGCCTTCTATCCTTTTTCTCGAGACTCCAAAAAAGCACGCTTGATCGATCCAAATTAATTTGTTTACCTAAGCCCACATTACTACACTTTTATCGGCGTCATGTCATTCTCCTTAATATTCACTTATTTCAAAATTATTATTACTGCCGTTTATTCGAGTGAAAAGCGTTAATGAATGATTCTATGTTTTATTTCTTTAACACAAATGTGTTTTATAATTGTTGCACGCAGCAATTGGAAAGGGCTTTTTCAAGTTAATACCTTTCGATTCAGATATGATGAAAGCATAAGAACGAAACCAAATGCTTTTCCATAGTTTTTGACTTCTGGGTCAAGGGAATGAAAGCGATGTATCGCGTCATTATCGCACTTTCATATTGTGAAATGAAAAACAGAGCGGCCTCACGTGAGGAGTTTATGATCAATCCCCAGCAAAGGTACTTGGGTCGTCGCCATATGGCGATTGGGCGGTTAAAACATTGACTAAAAACGACAGTTTAAGTGCACTGAAACACAGATGAGATTCACGAGATGGAAGATATCTTCTGCTGTGGCGTCTTGATTTCTTACTTCTTTACGTTTGAATCTTTCGTTATCATTCTTGCGTGAGGTTGTTCCAACTAGGCAGATATCATGCACATCGATTTGGTCTATATGAATCTGAAGACAAGTGACAAATTCATCGTGCTTAGGGGCAGCTCAGAGTTGCGTTTAAGGAAAAAACGCTATGACTACTTCGTAGAGTGGGAAGGCTACCAGTGAACTTATCTAAACTTAAGACAAAATATTGTCTATCTATCTAAAGATAATTTCTCAGCAGAAACAATAAGGTGTCCTCGACAATATCTGTTTCGATCTACGTCATCCGAGAAAGCAGAACTGGCGTTGCATATCTTGTGTACACCGGAATGATTGACGAGATTACAAAAGAAACAGATGACAGATTACCTGGAAAACAACCTTAAACTATTAGTTAAATTCTTTCAGTAGGCCTTTTTAAAACCAGTGATGACGTAATATTCTCAGTCAGAATAGCTAAACCTTCCACAAAATTCCTAGAATATTCATTACGGATGATATCTGTAACGTTGCTGTCTATTTAAGCATGTTAAAGTTATACCAAAATTCTTTAGTTTATTCATGATATCAGAAGTCAAAGAGATTAAGGATATGGCGATGCGTTCTGCCTAAACTGTTTGTTCTCGGTCTTCGAAGAAACACGAAGAAGCATAAAGATTTTTCGGCAACCACTACTGTACAGGTGGCATCAGTTTTTTTTTGTAGAACATCACATATGCCCTATTTGTTGGAGGACAGTCCTTTATAATACGTGGATGAAAAGCGACATTAGTGAGAACTAAAAGAAACTGTTATTAACTAGTAATAATAAGACATACAAACGACATTTTCAACTGTGAACTAGGGAAAGGTACTGTAAAAATCCAAAACTAGATCCTTCCTCGAATTTGTTAAATTAAATGGCCCTCATCATATAATGAGTACCATGCCTAAGATGCAGGTTGGCACGCATTTATAACGTCGAAGAGTACAGAGCACTCCAAGTTTCTTTTCCTCAGCAACATTAGCCATAGTCGTAACACTGTGTTGTTTTTTTTTCACTGGAAATACCTATCTGCACTGGTAATTTGGTGATATCATGAAAAAAAGGTGAAACATACGTTTGGTTAATTTTATCCTTTCAACACCTGATTTCCTGGGCAGTGCCTTAACAAACTATTTTGCATCGCACATATTTCCCACTGCTTTTTTACTTCAAGCGCTCCAGACATAAGTTCTGGAGCAGTGCTCAGTATTAGTAGGAAACCTAATACGCAGCAGGTTGCTTCAACACATTTTTTTCAATGAGCTGCCATAGGGATTATTTTCGTGTTCTATTCAATGCTCTTTTTTAACCTTTCACTTTAGCTTACTGCTATTGTGCAAAATCTGCTGCAAGAGTTCATGTCGCTGTGTAGTCTTGCTTATGGGAATGCTGTTTTTTTGAAATCACAGTCAAAATAAAAAAAACAGTGGGTAACATCTAGTGATTCTGTGTCGTCCTAGCGAGCGTTTCTGCATTAACGAAAGGTGACCGTACTCCACTTACAAGCTAAGGATTTTTTCTGTTTTTTAGTTTATACGAAGGAAATCGATTCAGAAGCATTCCTAGTTGTTAAAACTGCTGTTATCACGGTTTCTAGTGGAACGTTTTAGCTTGTTTTCCCGCTTCAGAAAAAGACGCTATTTCACCATTTTCGCTAATGTTTCTTTTTCAACTGATTTACAAGGCAAGGCCGAAATGATCCTTCGTTGTTCAACTCGTTTTCCACCTGAGGAATCCACATTTGCACTCGCTACCAGACAACTCGGGAACAAGTGTTTCGATAGGAACCCTAATACCCTCAATTTATTTTTACAATTTTATACTCACAAACAAAATTGAACTAAATAGTTGCTCCGAAAGAAATGCGAATTTAAGGAATGAGTTCGTTCTCTGGGCTCCTCCGGTTTGATTTACATGCACACACCCCACTGTGTTCACGCAAACGTGCGTGGGTGAACTTGTGGGAATTATGTTTCTTCACACCATTTCGTTCAAAAACATACTATCAAGTGAATCGGGAGTGCATAAAAGGCGGCTCGCGGTCGCCGTTAACGAAGAAGCTTCACTTGCATTCAAGATCTGTGAAAATACTCAGCTCTCTTTATGAAGGTCGTAATACCGCTAAATGATCTATAATAAAAAGCAGTAGAATTAATTGGTCTCATAAGAATAATGTGGTTTGCATGATGTGTTCCAATAGATCGAAGATCACTGGCTAACGCTGGCATGTGACAGGGCACGCAGAGATTTCTTAAGCTGCCCGGCATTTAAGTGGATTGCAAAGGAAAGGTAAAGGTGAGGCATCGTCATTCTACTAGGTAGTGCTTTAAATCACAGTGTACCACTTCGGTTTCTCAGAAACGTTCACAAAGATTTCGGAATTTTCATCTAAGATGAACAGCCCACTACTAGTCGATATGTTATTGCTCTCGAAACCGCCGGCTGTCTATAGTGGCTAATCTCTTGGCACAGATTAATGCTTCTTTAACGCTCGCTCACTCCAGAAATCCACGAATGCGCATTGATTTTGTACTACAAATAGGTTTTATAAACACTGATTTGTTATTACCGGAACTTTTACTTATGTCGAGAAGGATCGTTCTTAAATAGCAGACATTAATATGAGTTCCCCTTCTGTTAGTAGAGTGAAGTTAAATGATCGGCAATAAGGAAATATTTCCTTCCAAGAGGTTTTTAGAAAATATAGACTACCTCGAAAGACACATGTGAATTTTCTTACATATTTTTTTTCCACTGCATCATCAGCATAACCTTAACGTTAAACTGACATGCTGAGTTTTTCTGACGAGCTTAAATTGTGTACTTAACACTTTTGTGGATGCACTTTGTCATCGTTTTCAAAATAGTGGTGCCATTGCTTCATTTTTTAAACCATCCCTCACACAAAATCGATTCATCACCGACCCTATTTCGGGCGATATCGTTTAATCTTCTTGAAATCAGGCTTGATTTAATTTTTCTCCAGTCGTGCTGGTTCTGCATCTCACTAACGCGACCAAAATCAAATATTCTTATGTTTGCGACGTTTGTTGTTAGTAATGCATTATGGGACGTTTGAGGTGACGATCATTCGAGTGCATTGGAATATTCCTATGTGTCAGAAACGGTACCTGAGCAGCACTATGAACTAAAGTCACTGAAGTGAATGAATTGTATGGTATAATGGGGAAATAGTGGGAGTCAGCCTGTAATCGCCATAAAAATCATGGCCACAGGAGAAAACCTTCACTATCAGTAGTACCAGTAACTGAATATGTTGTGTTCGCTTCCCAATTCAACCATTGAAGAGCTCAGGGGAGGGGAACCAGTGCTGAAATTGAAATTCTTTCCAGTGTTTTTGTTAAGTGCGAAATCCGATACTTGTTGCACTTAACTCCTGAACAAGGAACCATCGGCTGGGAGCGCTGTGACTGCCATCTACTTTTTTCCGCCAATTTTTTTAAAAATGAGCTCTCTGATGGCAGATATCGTGTTTCTATCCAACGTTTGGTTGTGTAATATCCTTCTTCATCCTACTGTTTTTGTCTTTTTTTCGCCGCATGTGCCATCCTACTGTGAATGTTAACTTTTTATTTGTCTGTGTCCTTTAATTCTACTTTGAAAAGACTCTGACACAATAAGATTACCTTGAAAGGCAATCCATAAAGGGGGAAACAAAATTTGGGCATATGTCCCACGTTACTGTTGATAAATGTTAGTCGTAATAGCTATATTCACGAGAAATAATCAATTACAAACCCTTAGTGTTATTAAGTTTCCTTGTAGCGAAATGCAAAATGTTTTCCATGGGGTTTTCGACTGTTGTGATTAGGTGCAGATTATTGGAAAGCTTCTTAAATTTCTCAGCGCGAAAGTTTTTTCGCATCATTCAAACTTTTCATGTCTTATACAAATAGAAATCAATTCAGTGCCCATCGAAACCTTTTTCTAATTCCAGAGCGTCTCATTCTAGTCACTTTTCTCCGTGAACATCGGGTTTTCTTAATGATAATCTGAGTGGTCCGAAAACGTTCAGTACTTCCCTATCTTATTCACTTATTCACGGGTATTTGTGCATCATTGTTCACTCGGTGACGTTTGAATCGCACTTGCTTATGAATTACTCAAATGCTTATGAATTTTTTTAATAGATTTTCTTTCTTGTAATTTTCACCCACTGTATTTTCCACTACTTATTGGGAACTAGTAAATTTTTTTAAACTTTTTGCAAGACGTATTCTCTGAATCTTTTTTCTCGTGCCAACTGGTATTTCAGGCCGTGAGTCCAGCACAGTTCATGGTCCTTCATGTTTCTCGTCTTGGTTTTAAATGAGGTCCTTGGCAAAATTTAGGGACTCTTTGAATAGTGGTTTCAGAAAAAGTTGTACTGAAGAAGAATTCTGATTCGAGGTGAAGAAACCCTTCAAGAGCTCGTTGTTTTGTGTTAGTTCTATGAAAAAGACTACCTTAACTTTTAAGTGTTTGTAATATTTTAACACTTCTCCTTCTACTAATTTGTTTTTAATCCTTCCATGAGTTAGGACTTTATAGTTACTGTTCTGAGTATTATGTTAACGGCTTGTATTATGTTATTAACTGTACAATTACTACTAGCTGAAGCAAATCTGCCTATTACGAGACATTCAATGAGATTTCACAGGCTGGAAACGTTCTTTGATAGAGTTTGCAAGGTTGAAAGTGTAGGTTATTTCAGTTAGCCCCAAGAAATCATTTAGCATTTCGACGGCTACTTACCTGCCAGAAGTGCTTACTACACTCCTTCTAAAAACGTGAGTGTAGTCCTCATTCCACAGCAGCCATTTGCCTTTCGTGTTACCTTGGATTCACTTGCTATCGATCTCCCACTGCCAGCTAAACACTTTACATCGTTGATATTATTATGTAATGAGCTTCGTTCTCGTTTTTATTCAACAACGATGTTACATTTCAGTGGTGTTCATCAAGTCTAATATCTGCGGAGAATTCGATCCTCATGACGATAGTAAATTTGAAAAAAAAGGGTATTGATTCACCAATAAACCAAGCTTCTATAGTGAACTTTTCAAATTTTTTGAAGTAATTTTAGCTATATTTTCTCTTATGAAAGACAAGGAATTTTTGGAGCTTTTTTGCTTGAGACAATTTTATCTCCTAGAAAACGCTTCTCCATCCATCGAGTGGATTCTGAATATGTTGCAAGCCAGAACCTCATAATTCTATATCTCCCTTCATATTACTTACTGTATTAGGTTTATAATGTCACTTTCCGTTTGTGTCAAATACTTCCGAACATAGTAAAATAACTCTATAGTTGTAAGTAATACCGCTTCTGCTTCTTTCCATTTTTCTCGTACGCCCGTACCATTGCCTCATTTCATGAAATGGTTCCCGATGGCCACTAACTGAAAGACTTTTTTGTATATAGGTCTCTAACCTTTATGAAGAACCTAATTTTGACGTCATACTTCTGATAAAATTTTGGCTTGTAACAAGGTGGCCCATCTTCCATTTCCATGTTTGGCCTCGTACATCACTATCGGTTATGCTCTTCATGGCGTTTAGAGATAGCTTGGCAAGAATACTGTGAGAACTTCCAGGTGTTCATCCTACGCCGATAACTCTTGAATGACACATTCTCACGACAAATCGTGTTTTAGAATATTTCACATGCAGCTTTTATTCTCCTGACTTTGGAAGAATTTCCATCTGGAAACCCAGGAAACACGAAGCAAAGAGTTCCGAGGTCTTATCCACAAACATTGGCCGACTTTTCTGAATCGAGTATGCATCATTCCAACTACGTTTCCTTTGGGACACTAGCAACTTCCGCTATTAGTTTAGTTATTCTTAGTTGATCTTCCGAATAGAAATATCGAACTACTCATCGGCTTGTGTAACTCTACTTGTAGATGGACGTTTAGAATACTGTACATTGCATTGCTGCAGATCTTATTTCGACACCGAGCAACACACTTCAAAAATGATGATGCGGTGAACTTTACGGCATTAATGAGCATTTATGACTAAGACGGCCTTCTGCCTATTTGTAATCACAATCAAACAAGTAGGTAGAAAGAAATTATCCTTATTATCGTTTACTCTTTCTTAGCTTCTCGATTTTCGAACAGTCCTCAATTAAAACTACAATTGCGAGACCTACTGGGGATGGCCTATTGCTGGTTGTGCAACTTGGTCCTTCCTTGAGTCCTGAGACAACTTTGCAAGGACGTATCCAGGTCCATACCACAGTGTGTATCCGAAGCAGGTGTGTTTGCGACGTCGATTGCGAGTGAAAGAAGCGCCCAAGTATCCAAGTATTGCGAGACATAACCTTTGAACGTAGATTTTTCAAAACACATTTAGAATGGGCATCATATGGGGTGCATTTATTATTCTTAAGCTCGCATTGTTCCCAGATTTGTCAAAAATTTGGTTTCACATCTAGCTTCTTTTTCAGTTGCCATCGATTTCCAAGTATTTATCCTTCCGCTAATGATTCGATTATGTTGTCAGTTTTTCATGATTTCTAACATTACGGAAAATTCATGCTTAATTTTTTTCATAGCTCTCGTATGTCTATACTATTGGAAATTTCGCCAGCCTTGCACACTGAATTCTAGAAACGAATTCGTAATGGTGTGCAAACTGAACACCACAGAAGTCGAGATTGCTTAAACAGTGCCCAACATCCATTCTACCCCAAAGTGAGCGGGCTGCAGTGCGCCTGTGTGCGTTTCGTTATGTCTTCAGGTGTGCAATGTGTTTCAGGTTCAGGACGTTTCACGGAATGTTGATGATTTTGTGACTTCTCAGTCGGATTGTCATTCCAATGATTCAACGCTGTTTGTAACACAACTAAGGTAATGCTGAGATATTGGCAAAACTCCGGACCGCAGGTGTCTACGGTGAAAAACGAACGCACTATTGTCCTTTCTGGAGAGTACCGCGTTCATCACCAGATCATGCGGGTCCTTCGTTTCGCCTATCTCTCAGCTAGTTCTATAGATTGGCGCCACCTTAGAAAAGGTTAAGGCTGTTTGTAATGTCGCATAGTAGCCAAGGAGTGTGTGCATTTGGTATCATTGCAGCCTACTCTAACATAAATAACCTCTCATATTGATGCGTCAGAATGGCATCTCTATGCGCATGTTAAACACTTCAAGCGAGGTGGTATCGTGGGAACCTTCTTCAATCACACCATTTTCCAGAAGGAACTTAACATCTAAAGTTTATTCGGTGGAATGAAAACAAAGACAAACTTAGTTTTCAATCTTTATCTTTATCTTCCTCTTTTTTAATGTAACAGTCTATGTTATGTTAATGTGGGCCACTACTTATTTTATTAGGAGAGTTGTGAAGCACTACTGATTTTATTTTGGAGGCATAACTTATTTGGAATAGTTCTAAGAAATTATGAAATCTTGGAAAAACCTCGCATGGAAAACGCATCATATGGTCTTCTATTCAGTTTTTCTTACTTTATATTTACTTGAAAATAACAATGTCAGCCTAATGGATGTCGGAGAAAAAGGGCTTCGAGGAAATTCATTCAGTAGCCTAGTTTGGACCTGGGAGATGCAATTGAATGCAAACCCATTATTTACTTGTTTTCCTCAACTTATGCTTAGGCTACGTTACTCGGACATTTGCCATCGTGGGTTTGCTTTTCATGTTACCATTTTCTGCTTAGAATTTTATAGTAATATTTTTATGAATGTGTCGTTTTTTTGGTCAGCAATCGCGAGGTTTTTAAACAGCATACATTTACTTCCATAAAAACACAATACAATACAACGCTAGCTGACGTTTCGGCAGTATGGCCTTCTTCAGAGCCTGGAAGGGTATACTGTAATATTTTTAATTTTTCGCTTTCTGTATAACTTTGGTATTGTTACAAATTAACAATTGCACAGACCTTATCCACTGCTGAAATGCTTTCAACAATTGGAAATAAATCAGCGCACCTCTTCGCATAAATTCTATCGTAATTTACCAGGCTATTACAAAATGTTCATGCCTTCTCATTCATTCACGGCAGCACAGTGTGTTAGTAGAGAACACGCGGCTTCAAATAAAATTTCTTAGTTAGAATTTCGTAGTTTTTTGAAGACGATATTTATACGAAGACTTCCCAATCCAGTCGCAGTTATCTTCTGTAGCTTTCGAAAATGGAAAATATCGATGCACTACTAACAAGTTCACCAACAACTATCTAGTAGTCGCCCCAAGTGGCTTCATTTTTCGGTTCTAGGCTAATTCGCTGCGATTTTTTCGTCGTATTCTGTCACGTTACCGCCTATTTAATATGAGTGATGATGTCAGTTTAGGGCTGCAGGCTGGAAAAGTGGATTGACGCCAATGAGAACCGCATCGTTGCTTGATACACTCACATTTTGATCCAGTCGTTTAACGGTAAATGTTTTACGAATTATCATTAATCTCACCTTAGTAGTTAGTTTAGATGCTCCAGCAACCAGTTCCGGAGCTGCGTAGCTTCCAGTCTCTTTCGAAATATGCCGGTGGTTCGAGGTATGTAGACATTGTTTGAGGTCAAATCGAAGGGTATATATATGCCGACAAGTCTTTAAAAAAATAAATATACTTGTAATATACACTTACACTTAAACTTGGTTAAATTTTTTTTGATGTACGTCAGTTCTCATTTTTTGCAAAAAAAACCATCTTTATTACATGAGGTCAATCTGTAGTCAGCAGAGTCACTTCACTTAGACGGAAACGGATGGTTTTTTGAAGGCTTTCGCTCACAGTTTTTTTCCGTTCCTAATTGAAAGTTCCTTCTATTTGGATGGAGTGTTTTATATAGTCAATCACCATAAAAAGCCACCATTCTGGTGTTTCAGACAGCAGCGAAACTTTCCGAATGCTTCTTTCTCAAATGCTCACCAAAATAAACTCATTTACCAAGTTTTTAAGCATTGATAAAATAGTTGATAATTAGTACAATCAGAAAGTGTTTGTTACAGGTCAGTTCTTGGTCGTCGTACATCAAATGTCCTTGCTACTCGTCGTTCATCTCAATGCAAAAAGCGATTCGATGACCTGGACGTGAGAAGATTTATCTTTTTCGAATCTATTTCAATACTCTCCTTTTCTTCTGAGGCGCAATCTCAAGGATGATGGAATGCTTCATTTTTAGGCTATTGGACCAGCAAACGGTTCAAAGGAAACTGTCTCGGAAGCAGGAAAGGTTGGAATTTCTTAATATAACATTGATTGAAGGGGTCTTTGACAAGTAACACCCGATGTGGTTTTTGACAGCTGGCAATGATTTCTTACTGTATTGTTTGTGCAAGTCTTCAGTTTTTTGAGCTTCGTCGAACTTATAATAAACAGCGAACTGGCAAACTCAAGCTCCTCTGGGTAAAAATGGGCTTTTATTTTAATAGAGCTGTAAGTTAGTAAATTAACAAGCATTCGTGTGGGTACTACATAACATAGTTATCCATTCTTTGGGGATGGCTAACACTGCTTTAAGATTAAGGATCATAGGATATCTTATATTTATGAGCGACAATTTCTACGCAGGAAGTTCTGTGTAAGTATTAAACTTTCCAATGCAAAATTATTTGATTTCGCACAGCATGACTGGGAATGTGCGAAGGAAATCTGTTGAACGACTGCTTACGCCGCATAGTTGTGGTTTTGTTTCCCAACATATGTTACTTGTAGATTCGTAGTTATGGGACCTTATTGAACAATTACTAAGGGATGCTTAATTGAACGACTTCCCTTTTTTGTGTCGAAGCGGCCGTTATTTGTAGAGCTCGTCGAAAATGCTCTTGTTCTTGTTTGTCGATTGTTGAGTGTCCTTTCGACACTCAACAAACCTTACAGTAATCGCTTTGATGTTCACCACTTTTGAGTTTTAGGAAGTGGTTAAATTTTGTTCGTGTTCATGTATACTTCCACTTGCCGTTTACTTTCGCAAGCACGGCTAAGAGCAAACCAACGATAGAAGTAACTGCCGTCCTGATAGAAACGTAATCATCGAGCGTCTCTCGATCCACAAAGGACAATAAATGCCAAATTAGCGTATAAAAGAAGAAAGATAACAACAAATTTTTCTGCTGCAATAATGATCCCGTTTGCTTCTATAGATAGCCAAAAAGTAGGAGAAACACTGGGGCCTGCAATTATGTGACAGCTGATCTAAATCTCGAAGTATTTATAATTAATCAACGGGAATCTTCGTATGTAAACCAAAGTTGTCAGAAGAAATTCTCAATTTTAGTGTGGTTTAGGAGAGGTCGTGGTCTTGATAGCTGTTAAATTATTGTTTAGCGTTCTACTACTCATACTCCAACCTTGTGCCTCTGTATCGCTCTACAATCAAATGTCCAGTTATACGACTATTTAAAAAAAACCTCTTACAAACTCATCAGTCCGAAGCAATTTGTCCTTAAAAGGACGTCATGTGGGTTTTAAAAAGGGAGGCAATTAAGGTGTTTAGATATCGGTTGCCGTTGTTATTTGAATAGATGAATGGCCTATCATACCGAATCCCGAAATGTTGTGCTGACAGGAGCATAATTTCCAGCTTGACTAGTGCTTTACTGGATGAGCCAAAGATTTTTTTCCCTAGAGTCTAAACAGTCACGCTAGGTCATTCCCACGTTGTCATCCCTCCTCATCTATAACCATGTTGTTTCCCTAGAAACAGGTTCACTCTTAGCTCAGGTTGCCGAAGCAAACATCCATTTCTTCTTCAGCAAAGGAGACCTTATTGCTCAATTCCTCATTGTACGTCGCTGTTTGAACACAAGGAACGTCTCCAACTGCAAATCATTACTGGATGCATCACTGCTGTGGATTGTTCTAATAATTCGAGGATTAACAAATACAAGTTATGAATTTCTAGATGTAATCTATAAAAGGGTTGCGCAAATTTGACAAACAAAATTTTCACTGCGGAACATAGTACACATAGGTTTTTGTGAGCCAATATCATGTGAAAAAAGTATTCTTATTGAAAAAATTGTAATATTATGTTATGTATCAGGGGCCATCCTATGAGCCAGCTACCTCACGATGGGAGAGACAGGTGGAATGGAAAGAAGAAGAATGCATCAACGAATTAGACGAGCTGCCTTATCCGGGGTAACACTTTTGCTTTGAAAGAACTAAACAGTGTTTAACGTTTTGTTTTCTGCCTTCTATAATTTTCATGGCAGGTTATTAAGCGAAATACAACCACAACGTTGCTGAGATATTTGCAAAACTCTGGACCGCAGGTGTCTATGGTGGGGAACGAACGCGCTATTATCCTTTCCGGGGAGTAACGCGTTCACCACCACACCATGCGGGTCCTTTGTTTCGCACGTCTCTCAGCTATTTCTATCGATCTTTTTGCCACAGCAATCACAGTGGTTGTATTTCGCTTAATAACCTGCCATGAAAATTATAGAAGGCAGAAAACAAAACGTTAAACATTGTGATTTCAACTACAGCCATAGCTTAACTGGGTTCTATGCCGATTTGCGCCCCCCAGATCAACCCCGCTGACGGGTGATTGCTGTGGCAAAAAGATCGATAGAAATAGCTGAGAGACGTGCGAAACAAAGGACCCGCATGGTGTGGTGGTGAACGCGTTACTCCCCGGAAAGGATAATAGCGCGTTCGTTCCCCACCATAGACACCTGCGGTCCAGAGTTTTGCAAATATCTCAGCAACGTTGTGGAACTAAACAGTCTCCAAGATCGACTTCCCATTAACCTTGGTATTGGATTATAAATGCATCGTTTTCTTTCTCAGCAATTGTGAGGGTGTTAAACAGCGTACGTTTACTTCCATACAATAACACGCATACAACACAACCTTAGCTGACGTCTCGACAGAATTGCCTTCTTCAGAGCATGGAAGGGCATAGTGATATGCAATTTACTATGTCAAACGCTTAAATAACATATACAGAAAGATAAGAATCTAAGTGGTAGTCGCATGGTCAACAGGTTCCACCGTTCTTTTTGAACACCTAGATGAGAAACGAAAAGCAAGACAAGGCACACCATCAAGGACGCATAGGATACAAAAGCACAGCGGAGACGATTTTGATATAAAAGTCACTATCCTCGCACATGCCAAAACACTAGCTAGTAGTGCTCGATAAAGCAAAAAAAAAAACACCTGGAAGATAACAATATGTGCGGCACTCCTTTTTTCGAAGATTTTCATAGAGTTCTTTTTCTTTTTATTCCAGAATTGCTGAACCAGCTCTCCATTGTTTGAAACAAACTCGGCCGCCACGATCATGGGCTCTAACCTTAGTGATGAGTCCATGGTTTGACAGGGTCACAATGTTTGTTATCCTCATAAATTGTATAACATTAGGTACGATTGCAAGTTCTCTTCTGTAGCATTGTTTACTACTGGTCACAGCTTACTGCAAAGAAGCACTTTACAAAAATTTATATGTATGCCTTTACAGATAATAAATGTATCTTTACAGGAATGTATCGACCGTGTGAGGATGGTCCGAATTGTCCCACATATCGATGTAATATACTGGCCTTAATTGACCATGCCATATTTGCGTATTTTTCTGCGGAGATGGTTCGTTTCTGTGTGTTTTGTCTTATCATCTTTCTCAATTTCATAATTCATTATTTTTACGTTGATCAGGTCATAAAAATTATTGCCCTCGGCTTTATTGGACCGGCCGCTTACCTGTCTGACACTTGGAATCGGCTCGATTTCTTTATTGTGATGGCTGGGTATGTGATTTTACCAGTTTAGATGGATTATGGAATTGAAGATAGCTAAAGACTTTGAGTCTTTGACTACAGTAATTTTCTCTGCTAAGAATGTCCATTAGGATGCCTAACACATTCGTAACTGCATTCATTGGTTTGAAAACATACGTAAAATTTTAAACTGACATCTCGTAGCTAGTGTTATTAGTTTCATTTAATTAGCGTGTAGTTAATTTGCTTTTCAAGAGTACCCGAATTTTGGACATCACCGCTATTACGAACAAGATTTTGTCTAGAAGCTATGATAACCTTGTTAGCGTTATTACGCTATCGCTCCCCCTAAGTAATCCCCCTAAAATTTTTCAAAAAAATTTCGTGTCAATCTTTCAAATTTTTATTCGACTATGATAAAACTAAAGTAATATTCTAGAAATGTGATGGATATCCATGGAACAGTAGGGCAGAGTCTTTTCTGTTTGTAAGTCTATAAAGCCGTCAAGTTTTCAGCTGCTCCAGTTATCGAATAAGGCAGACATGTTAAAACGTTCCATGAACAAGATGGCTAAAATAACTATCACGCCCGTATAAGCCTGTCTAACAACAGCTTTTACAACTTCGTTCAAAACCATGGTGGAAATGGAAGTTTATTACAGAACTATGACCATTATAAAACGTAATGCCCTGCCACGAAAAATTAAGAAACAGCAAATAAAAGGTAGATATTTTAAATATTACAATCTGATGTATGCTGAAGAAGGGGCGCGTGTAGCGCAGTAGTCAGAGGAGCCTCGCAATATAGATGGGATCGATCCCCGCTCCTCAGACCTACCAAACACTCCAGCCCTATGGGGTCGGCAAATTAGTGCCAGATTTGTCTGGAAGGATAGCAGCACTGGCTCCCGTGAATCATTGTAAAGATCAGATGTGCATTCAATGATCTCCAACGATGTTCAATGAAGTCGAATGCTTGATGCATGCCTCAGGGATTGATTAACCCCGAGAGCTTTTTTTCATGCTGAAGAAACATAGCGAAAATACTAAATGACTATCTACTTAGTAGAATATTCGAATAGCCCATGTTTATGAATTACGAATACTCTCGATGGTCCGATAACAATTTCCATTTGATAGATTGCGCTATTTAGAAAATATTCGCTCTCTTTGGAGTCTTGGGTGACACATAAAAATTTTTATTTAACTTTTCAGTGCTATTGCAAAAATGACACTTATTTATGGCACTACCTTTCTAATGACTGCACACCTTGATAGAAATGACAGACTCATTCTTAGCTCTGGTGATCTTGATGAAAGAATGAACCCCACTGTTCATAACAGCTGAACTGGACAGCCCGGACACCCACCCGCTGCGATGGAGGTGTAAACCATTAGGCGGCAATGAATTAAAGTGTATTGGCATTTTCTTGTGCTCAGAAAGATGTTGAAAATGTTTTTTATGGTAGTGCTATCGTAGTGAGATCAATGCTAGGCTTGAGACGCTTGAGAAATCTGTAGAACCACCGACTTTACGCTTAGTGACATCCGTTCAGGAATCGTTGAAGATTACGATGTTAAAGTAATACATGTATGAAATGGATTCTTTGTGTATTCAGGATTGCAGAGTTTCTATTACAAGAGTATCTCGGTGGTAATATTAATCTGACTGCGATTAGAACTGTGCGAGTGTTACGGCCTCTTCGGGCAGTGAATCGCATACCGTCGATGAGAATTCTTGGCAAGTTATTCGTGTATTATTGCAAACCGACTTTCATTTCACTTTGATATTAGCAACGAATGTTTACTTTCATCACTTGGTTGGTGTTATACTTTGTTTGACTAACGTTTCCGCGCCTTCGCCTTCATGATAGCTGGTTGATCCGAGTTGATGGTCACAGGCTTGTCGTTGCTGCGATATCGGTGTTCTTGGCTGCGTTAAGTCGGGTCTTCGGGAGTTTCGGGAGTGGAGCACCGCTCGAATAATGGAGCATCGTGAAGTCTAAGACCCTCGTCGTGTTGGCTTATATTAATGAAAGTAGACACTGATTATTCACATAATCAGCCCACTACATTAACATCACCACTGAAGACAATCTTAACATTAATTTACATAATTCCTTAGAGTGAAAAAGAATGTTGACCTCAGCGCTTGAATACCACAAATTCACACCGTCGGACCTGCAAAAGTCAAAGCATAAAATGCAAGTTCCCCAGTTTCATTCGCTATTTCATAGGTAGGTTCTATTATAGTTCTATGTATTCTTCACAGCAGCTGGAGTTCTGAAATTTTATCTTTTTTTCACGCAGGCTTTTTCTTGATATCATTCTGGCAAACATGCAGTTCCATAACCATTTTGATAGAGACAGTAATGAGCCAAGTACTATGTGTTCACTAAGTGTTCAAATTTGATCGGAAATCAAGTTTTCTTTCTTGGCGATCAACACCAGAAATAGTATAATGCTGAGATATTTGCAAAACTCCGGACCGCAGGGGTCTGCGGCGGAGAATGAACGCGCTATTGTTTTTTCCAGGGAGTAGCGAGTTCACCACCACACCATGCGGGTACTTCGTTTCGCCTGTTCCTCAGCTAGTTCTATCTATCTTTTGCTATTAGCAATAACCCGTCAACGAGATTGATCTGGGGAGCCCAAATCGGCATTGAATCCAGTTAAGAATCACCGTCTATGTGCAACGCAAAATTGCATAATTTGCTCCAATGGTAAAGACGGTGATTGCATGAGCTCGGGTATAGTTTATCTGATCTCCTGTAAGACGTGCGGAGACGAATATATAGGTGAAACAGACAGACTCCTCTGTGTCCGCAAAAAAGAACACCTAGCGGGCAAACATAAACCAAATACCCCACTAGGCACGCATAGGTCACAAAGACATAACGGGGAGGACTTTTTAGTACGTGTCACGATCCTCGCGCAAGTATCAAGAACACAAGCGCGCAAAACTCTCGAGGCGTTTTGGATTAATTCCAGAAATCCGAAAATGAACCGCAAGGAGGAATGCCTCATTATAACGCGTGATATTGGACAGTATATAAACCTGTTGTTCTGATGGGAGGGGCACATTACACTTCCATGTGAACTCTGTGCGGTTGGTCTTCACGCGGCATAGTCAGTGGGAGCCTCGTAGAAAGCGGTGAGGGTGGAAAACTGTGTTTAATGTGAATGAGATCTTCGCTTAGCGTTTTCTCTGTTTGGTTATGGAGGTGTTTGGCTGAATAGGTTGCTGTCAACTTGACCTTTCTTGACTCTGAAGAAGGCGAAATCCGCGGAAACGTCAGCTTGTACGTAAATAAAGGAATAAAATAGCACCTCGTGTTTGCTGAACAGAAGTAGAAAGAACTGTTAAATCAATGCCGAGGTTAATAGAATGTCGGACGTGGGAGCTAACCTTTTTATTTGCTGCCTATTCATTTTAACCAGCTGATAAATAGGCGAAACGAGGGCCCGCATGGTGTGGTGGTGAGCGTGTTACTCCCCTGAAAGGACAATAGCGCGTTCGTTTCCCACCACAGACACCTGCGGTCCGGGGTTTTCCAAATATCTCAGTATTATAGCAGTTATATTCCCCAAAATACCCTGCCGTTAAAAAGAATAGGCTGTAAATAAAAAGGTTGAGAGCAAGAAGTAGTTTCACATTATTTTTCCGTATTTTTTAGCTGTTTTCGCAGCGTTTTCCGTAAAATACGATATGCAGTAATGTCGGAACATTCGCAGAACTACCAGTTCTCAATAGGCCTAATATTATACCGTTCATGACACTGCATCTCACTTATACGTCACTTATAGTTTTATTTAGAAAAATAAAATACTGAAATATAGTAAAACAATGGGTTAAACGTAGAGCTATTTGTTTTAGTGAACCTTCTCCTGGATACGTTGCCTATGTTGGGGAACGTCTTGCTGTTATGTTTCTTTGTATTCTTCATTTTTGGCATTGTTGGTGTTCAACTTTGGGCGGGTCTTTTACGGTGAGATTGCCTTTCACTTTTTAAATCCCGAGCATGATCGTGTAAACTTTTCAAAATGTGTTATTTTATGTCATTATCTTTCCTCGTCTGCTTAGAAACCGGTGCGTGATCAATTTGCCGAGGACTGTGTCAGAAAATCAGAGTGCACTATTCAATGAAGTGAAGTTGACCAGGTAGTTTACATATTAACGACTAAAGCTCTTTAATCGTTATACAGTAATACACGTATTTTGTTTTATTACCCTTTTTTATTTAGGTTTTACATACCAGAGGATACCTCTTTAGAGTATATATGTAGCCATGCAGATGCAAACGGGTTGCACACCTGCACTAATCTTCCACCTTATGCATTGGGTGGAGTGAAGTAAGTATATTAAACAAACTCGAAGGCTTTTTTTAGCCCCTAAGTCTAAATTGTGTTTAAATGTACTTTTGGGACTTGAATGGAACAAAATAACTGTTAAGGTGCAATTTAACTATAGAAGACTACGATAAAGTTAGCGATAATGCGTGTATTAACTGGAATATCTACTACAACGAATGCCAGGCAAGAGTTTCTAACACTATTTTTTTTGCTGGTACATCCTGCAGTAACTGCCACGACCGCCTTTCTATTAACCTCGGCATTGATCAAGTGATTTTGTTCGTATTTTTTTGAGCAAACGCGAGGTGTTATTGTTCTTTGTTCACGACTAATCTGCCGTTTCGGCGAATTTCGCCTTCTTCAGAGCCTGGAAAGGTCAAGTTGATAGCAACTCACTCGGCCAGACGCCTCCATAACCAAACAAAGAAACCCCAAACCAAGATTTCAATCACTTTGAACACAGCTTTGCACACTCACCGCTTTCTATGAGGTCTCCACTAGGTATGTCACGTAGAGACCAACCGCACAGAAATCACGT